TAGATTTTTTGTTATAATTCCACAGGTCCCTGATCCTCTATTCATTGAGAACTTTTTTCCCATTCTATTTTCCCTCTGTTGTTCACATTGGGTTAATTTTTCTCATTCTGTCTTCCAGTTCACTGATTCTTTCTTCTATCCCCTCCATTCTTCTGCTCAGCACATCCACTGAGATTTTTATTTTGGTTTTTGTATTTTCAGTTCTAAAATGTCTACTTGGTTGTACTTTATATTTTACGTTTCCTTGTTGAGGCTTTCTATTTCTTTGCTGGAGCTTTCTAGTGTTTTCATTTATTTCAACAGTGTTTGTAGTTGCTTACTGAAGCGCTTTTATCACGACTGCCTTAAAATCCTTGTTAGATAATTCTGACTGTCATCTCGATGTTGGCATAAACAGATTACCTTTTTTCATACTACCTGAGATATTCCCGGTTCTGGGTACGAAGACTGATTTTCAATTAAAACCTGAACATATTTGTATTACGCTCTGAGACACTGGATCTTATTTAAACCTTCTATTTTAATAGGCTTTCTGATAGGGATAGGGATGATACAATCTCATTATTGCCAAGTGAAGGTAGAAGTCCAGCTTCCCTACTGAGCCTCCACTGACACACAAGTGCGGGATTTTGTTAGATGAGTATCCATTTTCAGTTGTTTAGCCCTTGCATTTGATTATATCGCACCTTTATTTTCTGAACATTTTTGCCTCATAGTCCTTAAGTGCTATTTCAACAACAGTGGGAACAGAATATCCCAAGAATAGGGCAGCAATAAAATATCATTTACAACAGGAATATAATTAAAACACCCTCTCCCCAGTTAAAGCGTATTGCCATTAATACATAGTCCCTAAAACAGGTTTTGTTTATTTTGTTTAATTCAAAAGATGAAGCTCCTTCTTTTCTCTACAAAGAAACACATGCACAGAAAAGGATTAACTCCTTGCGGATGTCAAAGTAGTATATAAAGATATGTGTGTGTGTGTGTGTGTGTGTGTGTGTGTGTGTGTATACAGACTTCTGATAGTATTTGCTCACAGTAGAATACTTTGGCAAAGAGAAATGTATAAAAATATAACTCTACATAATACCATCTAGCTATAAACTACTCTTACGTTTTCTTTGGAGTAGTCCACTCTAGTTTCTTCCTATGCACTTATTATTTTCTTCTCTTTATAAAATGGGCTTAGACTATAATAAACACCATTTGGAACCCTGCTTTATCCACTTAACATAATAATGGGTTTTCCCATTTGGTTAAATGGTCTTTAAAAACATGAGTCTTTAATGGCTATAATAATATTCTACCTTATGAAGGTGCCATAATTTTTTTTTTTTTTTTGCGGTACGCGGGCCTCTCACTGTTGCGGCCTCTCCCGTTGCGGAGCACAGGCTCCGGATGCGCAGGCCCAGCGGCCATGGCTCACGGACCCAGCCGCTCCACAGCATGTGGGATCTTCCTGGACCAGGGCACAAACCCGTGTCCCCTGCATCGGCAGGCGCACTCTCAACCACTGCGCCACCAGGGAAGCCCTATGAAGGTGCCATAATTTATTTAAACATTCTTCTATTTGAGGATACGTTTATAAGTTTTTGCTGTTTTTAATAATACTGCAATACATATTTTTTAACATAAATCTTTGATTTTTTTTTTTTTCCCCTTAGGGCAGACTGCTAGAATTTGGACTACTGGATTGCAGCTACTAATAGCACAAGGCTCCCTCCTAGAGCAGGAAACACTGGTGTGGGTCAGGGCCAAGTTAACTCTTGGCCGTGGCATTGAAAAGAGTTTGCAAATTCTGCATCCTTCTAGCAACACAATGTTGGGGTTCTCTTTAGGGTACTTATATCCTGTGCAGTAGTGTGACGAGGCAAGCCTGAGGCTCCTCCGGCTTAGACCAAGAACTAGTTGCTTCCTCTGTTCCTTAGAAGAGCTGCTGGGAACCAGGGAAACTGAGTCATGTGTGTGCTTCCTCTGGTCTGTATCCTGTCTCTTTTCACCACTGGAGTAGTAAGGGCCAAGATGAGAGTGTGAGTCAGCGGAACGGTGTGCGACATTTTTTGCAGGAAGCGTTACTTGCTAATTTATTTTAGGACAAATAAAAGAGATTCCATGCTGTAAGGAAATAGTATCTTTAAAACAAAATTGGCAACACAATTATCTATATGTAAGTACCTTTCTGTCTATCTATCTATCATCTATCTATCACCAAAATTTAGGCAACTCAATAGTTTCATCACACTGTGATTGTGTTGTATCTGATTACATATTGCTCTCAATAAAGTACTTTTAAGCCATTTTATTTTCCATAATAGATCTTGTAAGTTATTTGATTGTAAAAATGTACAATGCCTTCCAATATTACATTCTTTAAAACAAGAATGTTTTCCACTGCCGACAAGACAAACAGCAGTACCTTTACAAAAAAGAAGAACTCATTTGTCAGCTTACTTTGTAACACCCAACTTCCATCAGCCGTTTGCTCTTCCTAGAGCAGCCTGAGCGGGGGAGAATTTACATTTTATTTATTCATGCTCTTTGTTCATTTTTCTATTGAGGTGTTAGGGTTTCTTTTTCTTATGAATTTGGGAAATTCCTTTAACTATTGATGATATTAACCTTATGTCTGTCATATTTGTTGCAAATATTTTCCCCAGTTTTCAGAGCCAGTTGATTCTGTATATGGTGCATTTATTTTTTACAATTCAGAAATGTTTAAATTTAGTACATTAAAATATGTCTTTTGCTTTAGAATTTTTTCTTTTGTATAGTTAGTATACCTTCCCAAGTCCAAAATCACATATATATTAAGCTGTATAAATGATTTTAATAAATGATAAATAGATGATTTTCATTTTTGAGAAATCATTTGATTCTTCATTGATTTTGATACCATTTTTATCATATACTAAATTATTTCATCTACTGGATCTTTTTTTTTTCCTACTGGATCTTTTAAAGCCCTTGTAGTTGCACCACTGTGTTACCTGATGATTCTTAGTTTACTGAGGGAATCTTGTAAGGCAAGTATTCTTTCCTCCACTACCATTTACCTTTTCTTTTCCTCAAAATTTTAAGTAGCTCACCCATTTATTCTTCCAAATGAATTTCACAGTCAATAATTCAAGTTTCAAAATAAAAATTCTCTTAGATTTTAAACGTAAAATTTAAATTTTATGATTATTAAAGATGTTTACACTGGTAAACATGTGAAAAGGTACTGACTTTCACTACTAATCACAGCACTGCAAGTGATCTGCCTTCCTAAATAAAAATTTTTAAGTTTGATAATGTTTGGTGTTGGTATAAGTATGTGGGAAATTAGCACTTTCATAGACCCCTGATGACAAAGGAAATTGGTAGTTATTTTAGAAGAAGTTTGTCACATCTGTCCAAATGTAAAATGCGTGCACCATTTGATCCAACAATTCCTCTTCTAGGACTCTGTCCCACAGACATTTTTACACATGTACATAAAGATACAAGGCAGGTCATTGTACCATTGTTTGTAATAAGCCCATACTGGATTCCACGTAAAAATCTGCCTCAGGGGAATGATAAACTATGGCGTGCCCATACGGTGGAATATCGTATAGCTGTTAAGTAGAATGAAGTAGATTTACATGTAATAATATGGGAAAAAATCTCTAAGATACAGTAGTCCCCCCCTTATGTGCAGTTTTGCTTTCTGAGGTTTCAGTTACCCACAGTCAATATAGTCTGAAAATATTAAATGGGAAATTCCAGAAATAAACAATTCGTAAGATTTAAATAGTACATCATTCTAAGTAACATGATGAAATCTCATGCCATCCTGATCTGTCTCATGCGGGACGTGAATCATCCCTTTGACCAGAGTATCCCACTTGTTAGTCACTTAGTAGCTGTCTCAGTTATCAGATCAACTGTTGCAATATCACAGTGCTTGTGTTCAAGTCACCACCCTCTTTTTACTTAATAATGGCCCCGAAGCACAAGAGTAGTGATTCTGGCAATTCAGATGAGCCAAAGAGAAGCCATAAAGTGCTTCCTTTAAGTGAAAATGTGAAAGTTCTTGACTAATAAGGAAAGAAAAAAAATCATATGCTGAGGTTGCTAAGATCTATGGTAAGAACAAATCTTCTGTGAAATTGTGAAGGAGGAAAAAAGAAATTCGTGCTAGTTTTGCTGTTGCACCTCAACTGCAAAAGTTACAGCCACAGTGAATGATAAGCACTTAGTTAAGACGAAAAAGGCATTAAATGTGCACGATAAGATATTCTGAAAAATCAAAACTACAATGAGGTACCACCTCACACAGTCAGAACTGCCAACATTAAAAAGTCTACAAATAACAAATGCTGGAGAAGGTGTGGAGAAAAGGGATCCCTCCTACACTGTAGGTGGGAATGCAAGTTGGTGCAGCCACTGTGGAAAACAGTATGGAGGTTCCTCAGAAAACTAAAAATAGAACTACCATATGATCCAGCAATCCCACTCCTGGGCATATATCCAGAGAAATCTATAATTCAAAAAGATACACGCACCCCTATATTCATAGCAGCACTATTCGCAACAGCCAAGACATGGAAACAACCTAAATGTCCATCGACAGATAAATGGATAAAGCGTATCTGGTACATATATACAATGCAATACTATTCAGCCATAACAAAGAATGAGATAATGCCATTGGCAGCAACATGGATGTCACTAGAGATTATCATACCAAGTGAAGTTAAGTCAGAAAGAGAAAGACAAATACCATATGATATCACTTATATGTGGAATCTAAAATATGCCACAAATGAACCTATCTATCTATGAAACAGAGTCACTGACATAAAGAATAGACTGGGTGGCTGCCAAGGGGGAGGGGGTTGGGAGAGAGATGGAGTGGGAGGCTGGGGTAAGCAGATGGAAGCTTTTATATGTAGAATGGATAAACAAGGTCGTACTGTAGAGCACAGGGAACTGTATTCAGTATCCTATGATAAACCATAATGGAAAAGAATATTTTTTTAAAAAGGTATTTTGAGAGACAGACACACATATTCACACTTTTATTACAGTATATTGTTATAATCGTCCTATTTTATTATTATTTTTAGTCTCTTACTGTGCCGAATTCATAAAGTAAACTTTATGATAGGCATGTATGTATAGGAAAAAACAATATAGAGAGGGTTCAGTACCATCCAAGGTTTCAGGCATCCACTGGGGGCCTTGGGATGTCTCCCCTACAGATAAAGAGGACTACTGTATATTATTAAATAAAGAGTAAGTTTGAGAACAATATGACGAACATAATGCTCTTTCTATTTTAAAGTATGTCTTCGTGTGTGTATGGGGGGGAGGGGTAGTATGTGTGTGTATAAAAAATACTTAGAAGGGCAGACACTAAAAGGGTAATTATATTTACTTCTGGGGAGGTAAGTGAAATTAGAGAGTAAAAAGAAAGACTGTAACTGTGAACCTAAGTATTTGTACATTGTTTTATTTATCTACTGTAATATTGTGTTCATATACAACTTATATGTTTTATTAAAAATCTTGAAAGCAACACCTAGTCGCTATTAACGTTATCTTTTCCTGGACTACTATTTGGGGTTTCTAAGTGTTTATTTACTCTCTAAATGGGAGAAAATTATTCATACTTAGTTGGCCAACAGATAATATGTGTGAGCTCCTGGCTGGCAATGCCCCTGGGGTGGTGGTTTCTGAATCCCCTTCTGAGTTTCACCTTATGGTACAAGTTAGTCTGGAAACTTTTAGGGTTTAGCTAGCATTCATCCTGGACTACCCTAAGTGATTGGGGTGAGATTTCTTTTTTTCTCCTTGCATATTTCTCTACCCCCAAACCCCAGCAAACACAGAGTGACAGAAAAGCTACAATCCTTGGTGTGTTACATGGGGAAGGGACTTCACCACCTGGGATGGATTTTATTCTTCCCCTTCTGCACCACCCACTAAAAAAGGACAGTAAACTACTGGGAATTGCAGTCTATGAAGATATATAAAAATGTGGTGCAGAGAAGCTCTGCTACAGTTTTTTTTTTGTCTGCGCCACACGGCTTGCGGGATCTCAGTTCCCCGACCAGAGACTGAACCCGGGCCCCAGTAGTGAAAGCCCAGAATCCTAACCACTAGGCCAGCAGGGAACTCTCATCTGCTATGGCATTTTGAACATGTCAAAAAGCACATGACCCACAGGAGAGAGCTGCTCAGGCTTTCTACTGGTACAGAAATCCAATGCTGGTCAACAACTTTTCTCCTCAGTTCAGCTCTATCAGCCTCGTAATCCGTAGAAATTCCTTCGGGAATCCTGCAAAAGGCTATCCGTCTTATTTTCCACTGGTATCACGTCTTTATCTTTTTCTGTGTCACCACTGATACTTAAATGGAAAGTTGGGAGAGGCTGTGTCAGGGCCTATCAGCCAGATGACACTATAAATGTGTTATTTTGCAAATAAAAGTCAAGTCCAAAAACATAATACAACACTGCTAATGGACAAAAGAGGCCATAAACACAAAAGGCGTATGTGGGCAAACACAACCGTTAGAACTTTTCTACACCGCAGTGGTGTATCTGCCACTTACTAATCAAGCATGGCGGCTCTCCAGGGCGCTTATTCTCCCAAGGACCAAATACCCATATACTGTGTATGTGTGCAGAGAACAGGGAACATTTCAATGACAGCTGCTCTGAAGATCAGGACCAAGGGGAGAGAAAGGAATGAAAAGCAGCATGACAATACAGAGAGACCAAAATCTGAGTGGAAATAAAGATAGACAGTGGGGAATAAACAGGAGATTAATACCTATGAAGTGATGAAAGAGGATAGAGTCCCAGAAGGGGTACCAGAGAAAAACTCTGTAAATTATCAGTGGGAAACGGAAGCTCTGCTGGGAAAGACCTTCAGCCTAATTTTTTTCAAACTTAAAACTGGGATTTTTGCGCCACGAGGAAATAACAGGTTAAGCGGGGAAGCTAAGGCAATTTATCACAGTGATCATTTCCACTGATAAGCATTTCTTTGTTTGAACAAATGCCCACTCTTAAAAACCAAGTTGCAACTGAACTAACAACTCGGTTTCCAGTGACGTTCCCTGTTAAAAAAAAAAAAAAAAAAACTTCCAGAAAATGTAATATAAAGAGAGTGAATATATGATATATTTTTGGTCTTTTGACAGAGATAAATGCGCTAGAAGAACACCTGCCACTCTTTACTTTAAACGTGGAAATCGTGGGTTGGCCTAAAAGATGTAACAGGTTACAGAAAACCCCAAACGAACTTTTTGGCCAGCCCACATATTCAATCCATATACCTTCTATAATTTCCACATGTGAGAGCTGAGAATACGTTTAAAGATACCCAATATCAGAAAAATGTGATGTATATCAGGATTCTGTTGGATCTTGTCAGCTACTTATAGCGAGATAAGCCAGCAAAGGAGGGGCCAGAACTTGTACTAGACTTGCCGCGGGAGCAAGTGCATGTGTGCAGAGTGGGGAAAGCATAATGCGCACGCTGACCTCTACTCGGGACAAAAGAAAACTAGGGAGTCCCAGGACCCAGGGCCACATGCAGAAAGAGGCCCGGCAGTCCTTGGAAGCCGTCCTGCAATGGTCCACAGACACTTATCTGTCAATGGGGAAGCAGCAGGGCCCTGTCCCTGGGCTGGACTTCTCCCCAGCATAGCCACTGGTGCAGCCAGTGGAGTTAGTTGGGCCTCGATCCTACAAGAGAGACCAAACGACTGAATAAGAAGAGAGTTCTGACCTGGACCACATTCAGGCCACCTGAGGTTTGGGAAGTCAAGACACAGAAGGTTTGCTGTTACTAAGAAGGTTAACATCGAGAAGGGTTAACATCAAATGGGCTGACAATGTACCACTGGGACTGGGAACCATGCCCAGGGCCACGCAAGTTATAGGGACACACAGCAAACACTACAAAAGGGTCTCCTATTGGTAGGAGTAGCATAACATCACATCCAATTTCAAATGATGGAATCTCCTCAAAGGTGAAATTTTGCACTTGAAGTCTGTGGTTAACAACTGTTTCATGGACTCGTGGGACGCTGACTCTGGGAAAGCAGGCAGACCGTCAGCCTAGGCTGCCCAGGCTCCAGTATAACAACTTGCCGCTTAGCTTTGAGCATCATCACCTAAGCTTCCAGGGCCTCGGTTTTCTCATCCCAACACTCTCTATGGCCACCTCTGGAAACTCTTGAAGGCCACGAATTTTTGTTATGAGGCTCCTATCGCAAATATAATCTTAGTAAAAATGATCCTATACTGTGGCATTCCTACTTATTCAACAAATCTAAAGGGGACAATCACACTCCAAAATGGATGTTCAGAACAGTCCAGCTTCCTCCACCCAAATTCTCTGAAAAGCAGACATGGTAACAAGCCAACCAAAACCTTGTTAAGACTGATCATGAAATAAATCACGTTCATCCCAGCTGAGCACAGTCTCCCTCACCCCTCTGTGCCCAGCTCAGTCTTCCCTCCATCAAGGGCTGGTGTGTCAGGACTGGCTCTGTCCCGCAGCAGCTGGGGGCCATCGGTCCCGGCTGCCCTCTGTGGGCTGGACACAGCTTGTGGCGAGGCTGGGCAGTGGAACAGTGTCGGGTTTCATGAGGAGGCAGGAAGGAGAAGGGCTGATCTTAGAGACACACAGGAAGTGGGGTGGGGGGCCTGGGTATAAGGGACACAGGTGTGCCCAGGCCAATCCAATCAGGAAGAGTTCCCAGCACGACCCAGGGTTCCTAGTACAGGTTGCCCCTGTAAGCAGCTTTTTTGGCAGCAAAGAGCTGGTTGCAAGAAAGGGGTCTCTGCAGGAGGCCTCTTTTGTCTTGTCACTAACCTTAAACCAGGCACCCCGATGCTCTACTCAACTCCAGCCCCAGCACACCTTTCAAATCTCTTGATCACGTAATACCTTGCCTAACTTGTTGGTTCTTTCCATAGATCAAATAGAATAACTAATTAACAGAGATCTCTTCCCTAAGCTTCTTCCCTAAGCTCTCACTAAGAGACGAGATCTCTTCCCTAGCTTCCCCTTCAGTAACCTCAGGAACAAACTGTGTGAACAAGGTAGCATCTAAGGAAAGATCACAAGAAGTCCACATGCCTGCAGAGAGGCGGATGGGGACAACTCTGACCCCCCCATCTCAATGATTAACTGAGGTTACTTCCCTTTTTCTCTCTAAAAACTTTCCTGGCTGAGCAGAATCTTTGGAGGTGGTTTTGTGGGGGGACACTGAGTCCACCATCTCTCCCCAGATCGCCAGCGTTCTGATTAAAAGCAGCTTTCCTTTCTACCAACATTTGCCTCTCTCTCGAGTACTGATTTTTGAGCGGTGAGCAGCCAGACCTGAGTTCGGAATCCCCCCAGTTCTCCAGGGAAGGCCACCCCAGCTCAGTCCTACTCCAAACACAAGTCTGAGCCAGAGTCTCTCCCAGGCCCACAGGAGCCTAGACAGCTACACGGGGACCTCCCAGGCCTAACTCAACCAGCACTTCTCTGTGGTCTTGGCACCAGAGGGGGAAACTGGAAAGAAAGGGGCTGGAGAGGAAAAAAACTTTTATATGGTTCTAACTTTATGGAGAACAGCACAAGCTTTCTAATGGTGCCGCTTGGAAGCACGTCGACGTAAAGCCCAGGGGACTCAGCTCACAGCCCCTCATCTTTCATAGAATTCCAATCCTGGCACAATCCTTGTATGAGGATTAAATTTATTCAGAACCAATTTTCCAAGAGTTCAAAATATTGCACACAAGTATTTGTTTTTACTAATCTACTAAATCTTTACAAAATTCCTTTTCCTTTGGTTAGAAATGAACAAAGCAGGATTAATCTCTGCATCTTTTTCAACCCTGGAAGCACAACTGAAAGAGAACAGACAATCTACCGCAGGTAATACAGAAAGTTAAGGAGGATCCTCGGAAAAACCGGTCCTGAGGGGAGTAAAAGGTCACTAGCACAAGCCCTTGCCCCATGAAGCCCCACAGCCCACGGACAGCCAGCAGAGGCCGGGCCAACCCAGAACCCTCCCTATTCTCAGATACCCATGGAACAGGAGGCAAATTCTGAGGAGGTTCAGATTGGGTTTTTCTGATCTCAGTGGGCAGTTGCCACATTTGAATTCAAGTCCTTTAAGAATCCACTCACAAATGCTGAGCGTCTCTGCTTTCTCTACAGAGATTTTCAAAACACCTCCTGTCTCTCCCTACTCTTAATAACGTCATCCCCCAACATTCACTGTATAACTGTAAAGAAGCAGGACCCATGGGGCCTTCTGGGGATAACCCCTCTCCCCATCTCCGAAGTACCTAGAAAACTGTCTCTGATGCACAATTCCTGAGTTGTTTTACAGATGCTAAAACCCCCACCAGATAGAAGACTTTACCTGATGGCCATGAGCACAGAGGCCCCAGATCTCCTGGAGCCTGAGGACTGATAGTGTTAACCCCTGTGATACCGCCCTGCTATCTCACGATCAACCAATCAAAGAACTGTGCACGAACTGATCACACACCCTGCCACGTGACTCTCCTCTCTCACTGTACCTTTAAAAATGCTTTCCTGGGCTTCCCTGGTGGCACAGTGGTTGAGAGTCCGCCTGCCGATGCAGGGGACGCGGGTTCGTGCCCCGGTCCGGGAAGATCCCACATGCCGCGGAGTGGCTGGGCCCGTGAGCCATGGCCGCTAAGCCTGCGCGTCCGGAGCCTGTGCTCCGCAACGGGAGAGGCCACAACAGTGCGAGGCCCGCATACCGAAAAAAATAAAAAAATGCTTTCCTGAAACCCATCAAGGAGTTCAGGGGTATTTTGAGCACTAACTGCCCTGGATGCCTTGCCTGCTGCCTTACAATAAACGCTGTGCTTTCCTTCACCACAACCTGGGGTCAGCAGATTGGAAAGCCGACCCAAGTAACGTAATGAATCTCTAACCGTTCCTCAACAAACAAGTCTGAAAATGGCAGGCACGTTTCGCCTTTGTCCTACCAGGATTTTACAGGGTTGAGGACGATGCTTTTCAGTTTGAAATCCATCGTTACACAACTCTCCTTATCTGGCAAAGGGAAACAGCCCAATCACAGTTCTCTGCTGAGCATCATTAGAGGAAGCCAAAGAAAGAGCAGGAGCAGGAAAACGGGTCAAAGAGCAGCTCTTTAACTTACCAAAGCACAGGCCACTTTGCCCAACTCACAAAATCAGAGCCTGCTTTATTCAGCTCATCCCCTCATGACCATGTACAGACGAGGAGATTTTTATCACTGCAGTCTCATTCTACAAAATAGGACTCCATTTTCTCATCTTTCTGGATGGCCATGAAATAATGTACATCTTGTAAATAGAGGTTGGTTACTTCAGGGAGGGGGACAGGAATTAATTTCAAACCTATCACATAGTTTCAAGCTATTTCCTGTGAGATTTCATACGGGGTGGGGGGGGGGCGCCCAGCACTGGAAGCCATAATTTCCATATTTATTGGAAACTGCATCTCAGCCAAAGTGGTACATTGTGTCCTCACAGTGAGACCTCACCCAGAGAAACAGAATTAACTCACCCTATCATCGTAAGCGTCCAGGGTCTTTTTCAGAAAACTGTAATAGTTGACCCTCTAATTCAGACACTGTTTCTTTAACTGCACTGCATTTTAGCAGACTGTAATTTAAGGAACTGATTTCTAACCTAATAAACTTCTTTGCCAACTAAACCAAAGAGTTTACATCTGTGTAGTGCATAGGAAGTGATAATAGAACCAAATGGCTACTTTTTTTGAATCAGACATCTCCCAGCCAGATCGCTTAGCTGGGTCTCTATTTATTTATGGCTATATATTTTCTTCTCTAAAGCTGTTTCATAACCTTCTAAAATATACTTTTATATAAAAATATGTATTTTTATATATGTGGAAACTACATGTGCTTATGTATGTGTTTACATGTCTGTACACGTGTGTGTATGTGTGTATGCATGTGTATGTATGTGTGAGTGTACGTGTGTACAGACTGGCACGAATTTAGACTGTGAGGAAGCGACTGATAAAGGATGCTGCATATTTCATGTATAATGTATCTGAATACTGCATTTTACAACCACTGCTGATGGCATTATGCTGTTTTATTAAAATTACATTATGCACATTATGTAATTAATTCACTGAGGCTTCCAGCTCAGAACACAACCCTCCACAAATCTGGATTTTTAGTTTTAGTTTTCTTTTGTTTTAGGAGTATTAACACCTATTTAAGAAGACAGCATGGGGGTGGCATGAACATTAACACATACACCACAAAAAATGTGACACATACAAACTCTTGCACGAAGAGAAAAATTTTGAGAAATTAAGTAAAATTAGTTAATGAGAAAATAAATTGGCTATTATATAAAAATGTTAAGAACCCAATATTTTCTTAAGGAGATTTGCACTGAAGATAGTTGACATTAGTCTTAGATCACCAGTACCCGATCTGACTCATTAACTGAACTGAAATACAAATAAACAGTATTGATTAGGACAGTCGGAATTAGGGACAAGCATTTAACCTGTGGAGTTGACAATAGTACCCTCCCACAGTACATACTATGGTAGATCAGGAGTCTGACCCAGGATGGTTTTTATGTTTTGGGGTGGTTTTTTTTTTAATGTCTTTAACAATGCCCTTTGCATCTATAAGTGATTTATTCAGAAATTTTTCAATGCTGTTTTTATTAAATAAATGCAAGTCTTTCTCTACGTTATTCTTGTTTTTATTATATAAAAATATATATTTTGGCAGCCTTGCAAAATTAATCTTAAAATATTTCCCCCCAATTATTACATTCCAAGTATATATCCTTGAAAAGGAACATCTGTTTTATCTCTGAATAGTTGAAATCACGTAATGTTTATGCCCTACTTTAAAATATCATCTAAGGAAAAAAAATTAAATTTCCAGGTTCATCATATCTACTTTCACAGCTCCTCAATTACAGGATATGTATTTTTTTCACTTTTAACATTTTTGAAAATGAGATACATCCTAAAATAATAGCCATATTAAATCTGGATTTACTCTTTATTTTCTCCTAAAACACTATTAAAGCATCTAGCAATCCACAGTGTAACAGACATGAGAAAATACATTATTTTCCACACGCCTACGACTTACTAAGCGTGTAGGTAGGTTCTGCCACATGCTTAATGTAACAGTACTTCTCACACACAGAAATTCCTAGAAGCAGCCTAATACCCCCAATCAATCACCTTTTTGCTTGAAAGAGGGGGAAAGGTGGCACCAGGAGCCACCAAAAAGAACAGAAAAGTGAAGTACATACTTCTCCCGTACCCTTTTCGGCAAGCAATGTTCATGTGATTCACTTCTGGCCAATGAGAAGAAAGCAGAGAAGTGGCAGTTCCAGGAACGCCTACGGTCAACCAACAAAGAGAAAAGACGTGGCTGGTGTGACCTCTTTTCTTCCCTTCTTCCTGTCTTACTCTTTAAGGATAATGGTACCGAGGCTCAGAGAGGTTAAAATAACTCACCCCAAACCATGCAGTTGGTAAGTGGCAAAGCCCGAGGCAAATCAGCCTCAGGGCAATAGGCCAATTCCTTAGGAGCTAATTTCTTCCGAGTGCTAAATAAAAAGTTACTGGGGTAATATGCACCAGTCAAATCAAATTTCATCATGCAATCCTTTATGTAACTAGCAAAATGTAAAAACAGCGCTCTCAGGTAGTTAAAAGCCTGTCCCATTCCCCACCCACTCACCCACCCACACAAAGAGAGCCTCCCCAGAATCCTCATCTATCTTGTTGGAGTAACCCACAGTTACTGCCCCCTAAAATGCTGAAATCAAATAAGCATGGCTGGTGCTCTGACTCAAGCAATTGAGAGATTTTATTATCTAATATGTGAATCTCTTAATACACAGCCCAACTACTTGATTCAGAACACACACACACACAGTCTACAAGAAAAACTAAAATAGAGCAACTTTCACTAATTTTACCCCCAGAACATTGATCCTGCCTTGGGCAAAGTAAATAAATCAGTGAAGCTGTAAATACAATATATTTTCATTACAATCATTTTCCCCATGCCTTCATTAAGTGTTGAACAAACACTTAAAGACTAGAGATTTGGAGGGATGTGTGACCAGGAAGCCCCACACGCCTTGGACCAGAACTGAAGAGCCGGAACTCAATTCTCAGGTCTTTTTGCCTCCAGTTCTAGCTTTAGGACCTTAGAAATCCTGAGCCCAAAAAGTGAACCTAGTATAACCCCACGCAAGTGAGAAACTAAATCCAGATGCCAGAGCTCTGTCCAAATTTGCTGAGCACTTGCTCTGAATAAAGTTCTACCCAGCAGGTGATATACATTAGAATAAAACATGTTCCTGCCCTCAAGGCCCTTGAGTCCCTGTGACCATTGTGTGATTTAAATAATTCAACTGAAATCAGAGACATTATCAGTAACAGAAAAAATTTAAAAAGAAGTCTCATGTGCCTCTTAAGATACCTCAAATTAAAATGAAGCTTTCCATTTGACAAAACCCTAAAATATATACTAATCAAGATAAATATGACCAGAATGATAATGGCCACAATGATAACATTTATTATTGAGCACTTACTATGTACCAGGCACTATTTCAAATGCTTTCCAACTTCTAATACACAACAAGAGCATTAGATATTATTATCCTAATTTTACAAATGAGTTCACAAAAAAGCTTAGAGAATTACTTCATAACTTGTCCAAATTTACATATGCTAATAACCACTACACAATTCAGCCTCCAATTTCAAAAAATCCTGCCAGTATTCTATAGTTCTTTAAAAAGGGATAACAACTCCCGTACACACACGTACACACAGACACATAGTTTTATCTGTCTCTATAGGTCTGTTTGCTTTGAATATCCCAAAATTTAATC